TGATAACCCTGCCGATGAATATAACGTATTTGTGGGTGATTGGTACAACAAGGGTTACAAGTCCTTGAAGAAGATCTTAGATGGGGGACGCACAATTGGCAGACCCGATGGCATCCATATCAATGGAAAATCCCTCAAGGTCGGTGACAAGGTTGCTGAGCCACTCTTCACCATGGAGGCTGGCAAGACCTATAGGTACAGGATGTGCAATGCTGGCATGAGGACATCAGTCAACGTCAGGATTCAAGGCCACCCCATGAAGTTGGTGGAAATGGAGGGATCCCACACTGTGCAGAACGTCTATGAGTCCCTTGACCTCCATGTTGGTCAATGCCTTTCGGTGTTGGTCACTGCTGATCAAGAGCCCAAGGACTATTACATGATTGTTTCTAGTAGGTTCCTGAAGCAAGCGCAACTCTCTTCCGTTGCTATCATTCGATATGCCAATGGCAAGGGACCAGCATCTTCTGACCTCCCAGCACCTCCACCAGAAAACACCCAAGGCATTGCTTGGTCCATTAACCAGTTTCGCTCCTTCAGATGGAACCTTACTGCTAGTGCTGCCCGCCCCAACCCTCAAGGATCCTACCACTATGGACAGATCAACATCACCCGCACTTTCAAGATTGTCAACTCTAGGAGCGAAGTGGATGGAAAGCTCCGATTTGCCTTGAACGGTATCTCCCACACTGCTGCTGGAGAAACCCCATTCAAGCTTGCTGAATACTTCGGAGCCACCGACAAGTTGTTCAAGTATGATCTCATGGCTGATGAACCCCAAACTGAAGACCTGAACAAGGTGACCGTCGTCCCCAATATCAAGAATGCCACCTTCCGTAACTTTGTAGAGATCATCTTTGAGAACCGTGAGAAGACTATCCAAACCTATCACTTGGATGGATATTCCTTTTTCGCAGTGGCCATCGAGCCAGGGAGGTGGAGTCCCGAGAAAAGAAAGAACTACAACTTGGTGGATGCAGTAAGCAGGCATAGCATCCAAGTCTATCCAAACTCATGGGCCGCGGTGATGACAACCCTAGACAACGCTGGACTATGGAACTTGAGATCAGAGATGTGGGAGAGGTTCTACTTAGGACAACAACTCTACTTTAGTGTTCTCTCACCAGCTCGCTCCTTGAGGGATGAGTACAACCTCCCTGACAACCACCCTCTTTGCGGTATTGTTAAGAGCATGCCCCTGCCTTCTCCATACAAGCCATAGGTGTAATAGTAGGCATCTGAGGGGAGGGATTTTACACATATTTATGTATGACAAGAGCTTGATTTGTTAATGATGTATTGTTTCCATTTACATAACAATAAAACAAAAAATAAAAATAAAGGATTTCCCCCCTCCATTTGTCTAGTTTAATGTGATATCTTTTTCTTTTCGCTTAGTTGAGCTGTAGAAATTTGTTTGAGCCCATAATCTTACACGTTCAAAAATACTACCTAAATTCTTGATAAACACATAATCCTAAATTTAAAAAAAAAAAAAAAAAGATCCTAAACCTAAAAGTGCTAAAAATTTTACCTAAAATATTATTTTTAAAGGAATAATGAACTCTTTACCCAAATAATTTTAAATATTGGTTAACTTTTTAATAAATATTCCTAAACCTAAAAGGAGTCCAACGTGCTCGACAAGTTTTCTAATGTGAATTTTAAAAGGAGTTAAAAAGTTTTAGGCTTTTTAAAGGAATTACTCTCAAACGTAAAAGGAGTTCAAACGGATGTAATCAATTTTATTGAAATACTTTACAATATACTTTGATTTTCTCTTATTATTATAATATTTTTCTTTTAAAAATTTGTTATATTACCTAGTTTAGATATGGAAGAATATAATAAACAAAATCTAGTTGATATGGAATGACTAAATATTAATGAACTTTTTACCTAAATAATCTTAAAGTATTAATTGGTTAATTTTTTTTGAAAAATATTCTTAAACCTAAAAGGAGTTCAACATGCTCGAAAGTTTCCCAATGTGATTTTTTCACGTGTTATAACAAACAAAAAGAAAAGATTCCTAAATTTAAAAGGAATGAAAGAGCTAAAAAAAAAAACTTAACCTAAATGTTTTAAAAATTAACTGGTTAAAGTTTATAAAAACAAAAGACACCCAAAACATAAAAGGGGTTCAAACGAATGTAATCATTTTTTTATTGAAATACTTTGCTTTTCTTATCCTAATTTTTAATGAATTGATTCGTTGAAATCTAAACAAACAAAAGGCTTCCAAAACTTAAAAGGAATTCAAACAGATGTTAATTAATTTTACTGAAATACTTTGATTGTCTTTTATTGTTATTTTTCTTTTACAAATTTGTTTTATTACATAGTTTAAATAAGGAAGTATTTAATAAACAAAATCTACTTGAGTTGGAATTACTAAATATTAGGAAAATAATTGAAAAATTAGTCTCCTAAAGTACTACCAATTTTTAATCATAAATATTAGGAGGAATAATGAAATGACTATTTTACTCAGTGTGAACTTTATTTTTAATGAGTAAAGAAGGCGAACGACATTTTGCTAAGGGCCTTCATGCTTTTAATATAGTATATAGATATAGATATAGATATAGATAGATAGATATAGATATACACATAATTATTGGACTTTTTAAAAAGATATAGCATTTCATTTTACATTTTTGGCATAATTAGAGAATCCCGTACTGTTAATTAATAAATTTTTTTAAGAGATTAGGTTCAACTAAATCAGGGGTCCAGTTTTATTCCCTTCTTCCTCATTAAAGTTTTATATTGATATATTCTACTGCTATTATATTTCAAGGGAGCTTTGGAGCAATGATAAACTTGTCTTTTTTTGGCCACGGGCAGATTTAGGAGGCGGAAGGGGCGCTGAAAAATTACACTATATATTTAAGACAAAATATGGTTTTTACCTTTATATATTATATTTTGAATCCCTTGTAACAACCCAAAAACATAGTTTAGTGTTCAAGAAGTTTCAAAACCATTGCAAGTTCACTGGTTCAATTCCCACTAGCTACAATCTTTCTTAACTTTTTTTTCTTTTTTGAACCCTCTTAACGGAATTTTTGCCTCCGCCACTGTTTATGACTTATAGGTCACGAGTTTAAGTCATGGAAGTAAGGGTGGCATGTGGGCCGGTCCCGGGCATAATTGGGCCGGTCCTCACGGTTCCGGTCCCGGGCCAGTCCCAATTTAAACGGGCCTCGTGGTCCCGATCCTGGTGGGCTTTTTGTAGGAACCGGCCCGAGACCGGGCCCACGAACTAATGGTCCCCGGCTAAGTGGGCCAGACCGGGGCCTAAGTGATCCCAACGGATACTTTATTATTTTATTTTAAATTTTATAGAAGTTAGAGATGGTAATAAAAATATCTAAGGCAATTCCCTGTAAATTATATTATAGAATTGTGACCTAAATTTTTTAATTCAAATTTAAAGACAAAAATATTGTAATATTCAAAGCAATGCGTTATAATTTTATTATAGCATTAAAAAAATGACAATATCTTTCTTAGTTTTCCTCCCCCCTATGGAATAAGCACAACAAGGTGCTAATACCACCATTAAAAAGAAAAAGAAACTAATCAAGATATGCCAAAATACAAGTTACATAATACATAGTAATTTTTGTTCATACAAGTTACATGGTATCTCTTAAAAACTTCATACATCCATTAAGGCCCCGAGGAATTTCCGTTGATGGTGGTGGAAAAGAAGCTTGGTCATCACCACTTCCGGACGAAGCAGAATCCTCCGCAAGTTCAACTAGCATTTCTTGGTAAGCTTCGTCTACCTCTGGTTGTGATTCAGCAAGTCCAAAATTTCTTCTTTCTGAATGGATCCAATCTATGAAAAGTACTGATTTTTTCAAGCTCTCCCTCATAGACGCTTTATAGTCACCGACTTGAAGTCTTGCTTGACTGAGAGCGCTCTCTGATGCCACTGTTGAATCTTGAATAGTTAGAATATCTCGGGTCATCCTTGAAAGAACCGGAAAGTGTTTTTCTTTGTCCTTCTACCATTTCAAAATATTAAAGGAGCCGTCGGTATTCACTTCTTCAATTCCCTGTGACAAATAAACTTCAAGCTCATTTAGTTGTGAAAAGTCACTAATAGTAGAACCTTGAGAACCCCTGAACTCCCCAAGCACTAAGTGCTCTTACTCTAGAAGTTCTTTTAAATGATTGAGAATTAGAAGAAGAAGGAGTTGGAATATTTGGTCTAGCATGATCTAATGCAACTTGATAAGCAAGTCCTTGCCACAAGTTTTACACTTAGCCTTATTTTGTGGAATTAGTTGAGTAAAAAATGGCCAAACAATAGATGTTTCTGTTTGTTTGGTATGTTGTCTAGAAAAAGTAGGGGCAGTAACATGAGTATCAGACGGGGCATCATTTGGATTATCATTAGTTGGGTTAACTTCAGGAGCAGGACTAGTGGGTGTATCGTCATCCGCTTGAGTTTCATCAAAATCAATCTCCTCCTCATTATTTTTATCAATAGTTGGATTAGAATAAAGAGCATTCATTAATTCATGGTCTAATTGTTCACCAACTCTAACATTATGGAAATATTGACTCTCAGTAAATTATAATAAACTATTATCGCTATCAAGAATAGCATGTGTAGGATGGGTATGGGGTTTGGATCGGGGAGCCCGGGGTAGTGGAAGAGGAACAAATTGGCCACTAGATTTGCCACTCTTTAATTTTCTCTTATTTTTGCCGAATTTTTTTTTTAAGGAAGTCATCTTAACTAATCAAATAATAGAAAATAAATAAAACAAAACAAGCTATAATATTAAAAATTAAGAGTTGGAATGAGTTTACCGAATTGAGGAACAACTTGTTGAAAATTGATTATCGTTGAAGACTTCAATTCACCAACTTAACAATTTTTTCACAAATTGTAACAATAAAGTAAGCAACAGTAGCAATTATAGAAGAAAATTAGAGAGAGATTAAGAGAGATTGATGATTTTGTGAGAAAAATGAAAGAATAAGGGGGTATTTATAGTTGAAAATAGGGAAAGAATGTAATTATACAAAGTTTGAGGTTAAAACAAAGTTGTGGGTGGAGGGAGGGGGTTAAACGACTATTTTGTAAATAGCCAACGGCTATTTTGGCAGACCAAATGGCTAGTTTTTAAATTCACAACGGGCAGATTTTTTTTAAAATTTATTACCGTTCGGATCGTTTAGACCCGCCAAGGACCAGTCCGATCCCGGTCTTGTGGTCTTTTTGTGAAGGACTGGCCCAGAAGGCCGGCCCATCCCCACGGTCCAGGTTCTAACCAGTTAAGGCCCGTTTAGGCCCAGAAGCCCACATGGTCCGCGGTCCCGGGCCAATCCCGGACCTGGACCAGCCTAGAAGCCACCTTTACGTTGAAGTAATCACTAATGCTTGTGTGCGGCCCTTTCCGAAAATGCGAGACACTTTGTGCACCACGCTACCCTTTTTATTCTACTGCTATTATATATGTGTTTACCTTGAAAATGGTAACTACAATTATTATTTGATTTTGTGGTTCTAAAAATAAGTGACTTATTTCAATACTAGTTGTTAGGCAGTAGATGTTAGTGTAAGTAAAGAAAATAAGAAATGCAAACCAATAGGGTCACAAGGCTGGGCCTCGAGCTGGCTGGAGCAGAGCCTCGAGGTCTCGATGGGGCTAATAGCAATGAACAATTGATGAAGAATTAATGATAATGAGGGCCTCAAAGATGGCCTTTTGCGGTTAATAATGAGCAATAAATGAAGAACAATAAATGAACAACGAATGAACAATGAAAGAATAAGCAATAAATATGTAGAGCAATTGCTTAAGCAAAGAGCAGAGAATGTTATATTGTATTCAATGTGAGTGTATTCAATGATTATTCGAGAGGCTTTACAAGATATTAAGGAGTCCCTTTATATAGGAGGGGTGAATCCCAACACAGTACATGGCTAATAAATGACGAAGAAATGCTACTAATACAGCTGTATAACAGCTCAGTATGAATTTGTACTATTCTTGCAGACTTTGTCAGTCCTCACCGTGTGCCCTCGGGGGTTTCCCGCCTTTCTATAATATACATCGATTTTCATACTACCTTGAGTTACACCATGGTGGGTCTTCGACGTACCCTGCCGAGGCGAGCGCTTCGAGGATGGGCTGTGGACCGTGCTTTGATCCCACCGAGGCCGGGCTCGAACTGCCACAGAAGCCTCAAATCGGTTTTCCTTGATTTTGACCATATACAGATAGTCCCCGGGTTTCTTAGAATAGAATGGTATGAAATGACTTTTACCCCGATTTTCTCGAGCCTCTCATGATGATGTCACACTCGTGACGTAAGCGTTCTTGGTGAC